TCCTCTCTCTCTCTCCCTCTCCCTCTCTCTCTCTCTCTCTCTCTCTGACTGTTTTGTTTTGTTTTTGAGACAGGGTCTCACTATGCAGTTCAAGTTGACCTTAAACTCACTGTGTAACACAGGAACTCATGGCAATCCTCCTGCCTCAGCCTCCTAAGTGCTGAGATTACAGGCATGTGCCACCACCCATACCTCAATATTCTGTTTGTTCATATATTTTGAGTTGTCCAGGCTGAGGGTTTTGTCCAGTAATTAATTTAAAAATTTAAAAAACAAAATACCTTGTGTACTTAGAATTTTCATGATGTATTCCAAGATAAATCTATTTTTTTTACAAAAGAAACAATATGTGAGATGATAGTATAATAGTAAAAAATGAAATACTGATTCAAGACTTACTGATGGATGAGATTAATTTAGAAATATAAATAGAAGTAGAGTAGGTGAGAGAATGGGATGCAGTGGTTGTCCCCATGAGCTATTTATTATGCAGAGGTAGTGCTTTGGGCAAAGTCCACACCAGCTCCTCTGAGGACCACGTTTTTTGTTTCACTTGTTGGTTGGAGAGCACTTGCTCTCTCTGCCCTCCCAGCTTGCTTTTAAGAGCACACTGACCTGACTGATTACTTCATATCAAGCCTTCATTCTTGGAATATTCTGGAGAATAATCATGTTTATAATCCCAGTAGCACAGGGCAATGCAACCTTATTTGCTGTGTGCTCAGTTTTGCTGGATTCCAAAAGACAAGGTTATTATTTCAAGGACATCTTGTTTCCTGAGTTAGGTGATGATGCTATCCCCTCTGAACTAGGGCACATGGACTCCAATTTCAGAGCTACCCATCATGGACCGAGTCTAAAGATAACTTATACTGATGGGCATCTGTTACCTGGGGTCTTTTTCACATCATACCGACTCAAGCTTTAGTTGTAGCTATTCATACAACTAAAGGAGGTTGAGAACTACAATTAACAGTTTTCTGTGACCAGAAGCCTGATACAAAGTCTATCATTATTTTAATGCCTTGCTTTTCCTTCCTGTGACTTCTCCTAAAGGGAAAAGGGAAAGGAAATGATCACTCTCCTAGGCACTTACAGGTTATGAGGACATGATGGTGTGTAAGAGTTGGTTTTCCTGCTCATTCTGCATCTCTTATTTACTTCACTGTGTTTCCAGATGACTAAGAATGGCACAGTGGAGTCAGAAGAAGCTAGCACTCTTACAGTGGATGATATTTCTGATGATGATATTGATTTAGACAATACGGAAGTAGACGAGTACTTCTTCCTACAACCCCTGCCAACAAAAAAGCGAAGGGCGCTTCTGCGAGCCTCTGGAGTTAAAAAGATTGATGTGGAAGAGAAGCATGAGTTGCGAGCCATCCGCCTGTCTAGGGAGGACTGTGGCTGTGACTGCAGAGTGTTCTGCGATCCAGAAACATGTACTTGCAGCCTGGCAGGCATTAAGTGTCAGGTAAGGTTTGGATTTCAGGTCATCCAAAGATGAAGCATTATGTACCATCCCTGAAGCAGCTGTGTGGTGTATACCATAATGAGTTCCCCACATGAAGAAGACTACAGCAAGGCAGTTCAGGGAGGGGGAGAAAAAATACTAACTCAAGCATTCAGAGTGCTCATACATGGGAGATATATTGTAAAAGGCAGCCTAAACTACAGCTGAGGTAATTGAAAGAATTTTGTCTTGTATTCTCTTGTCATACCAGCTTATTTTGGCTTTTTAAAAATATTCAGGCAGCGTTTGACATCCTTAACTTTTGAATTTGTGTTTTCTGATCCTCCCATGATGTATAGAGTGATGACTAACTAGAAGTAGTGTAGGATAGTAGTAAATTTGCTAAAGTGGGACCTAAAAAAGAAAAAGAAAACTAAATTGCATTCCTCCTCACCAAGTATATGTGAACTTGGCCAATCAGGTAAATCCCTTGGGCTCAGTTTCTTCATCCTGAAAATGAACAGGCTATAGGAGATCAGGTCAAGAGTCGGCAAACTGTCAGCTCACAGACGAAACCCAGCCAGTCACATGTTGTGATGAGCAAAGTTTATTGGAGCACTGCCATTCTGTTTGTTTGTTTACCAAATATCTATGACTGATTTTATGTTTCTGTGGCAGAGCTGAGCAGTAACACAGAGACTGTATAAGCCACAAAACCTAAAATAGTTACTCTTGCCTTTGCAAAAAAAGTGTCATATATATAGTATATACGTATTATATATTATATGTATGTGTATATATGTATTATATATAGTATGTGTATATATATATATGTGTGTGTGTGTATATATATATATATATATACACATTGCAGTTACTCCCTGCTGCTAAGGTTTCCTTAACAAGAAAAAAGTGTCTTCATGGTTTCTCTCTGTCTGATTGTGGGAGTAACGATTGATTAGAGGAATACAGGAGGGAAGCAGAATTTTTTGCAACTTGGCAGTAGCCTTGTAAACAGTGAGAAGCCCGTTTTTCTCCCCCCCAAAAATCTAATACTTGAGTTTATATGAGAAGTGTTAGAAAATAGCCCTACCACTCTTATTTAGTTAATTGTGCTTTGAAAAGCTTAAAGGTTAAAACTAATTAAGGGAAAATAAAAGTGTGCCAACCCTTGTACTAGATGAGTCTGTTTTGTATCCATCTATAATATATCATTGACGTTATGGTTAGTTAGGTGCTGGTATTTTACGCAGAAACAGCTTTTTCAATAAAGAGAATAGAGCCGAGGATTTAGCTCAGTGGTTCTGCTGCCTACCTCGCAAGCGCAAGGACCTAAGTTCGATCCCTGGTACAAAAAAAAAAGAGAGAGAGAGAGAATAATTCAAGCATGGTGAAAAAAGAGGATAGTTCCCATCACTCGAGCAATTGCTTAAGATGGATTCACAGAAAAGAGATTCGTTCATGAGGAAACAGCTACAGAGTATAGCTCTGAAGTCTACTACTTACTACCTTTTATTGGGAACAGGATAACTATTAGAGTTGGCTTTCTCTTCTGTAGCATGCAGTGCCCCTGTGCTTGGATAAGGTGGGAAGCATGGCAAGGTTTTTGTGTTGCCTATATTCTGATTAGCATACAGGTTGATCTGGGGAGTCTGAGACAATCAGCAAATATCTTATGAGTACCTATGGATTGCCTAGAATTCCACTTACCACCTGAGTGAAGAGGTCAGTCTGACAGTACTTTTTTGAATACAATTTTTCTATCTCTAGAGCCCAATCTTTCAAATAGTTCTGGAATATTAATAAGATGGATATTCTCTTCCTTTGAGAAGCTTGTAGTCTAATGGAATGGGTGAAGAAGGCAGACAGCCAGTACCTAAACATGTGAGTCCACTAGTCACAGACATAAATGTGTACATCCCCTGCTCTCCCACTGGACTCACTCATGCACCCATGTACCATGGACCAGAGACTGAGGGAGTAAACCAGCAAGAGCAGATTGTTAGGGTGCATGACACCAGGGGCTGTCAATCTGGATATCTTGAGCAATGAAGTGAATTTTACAATAAGCAAAGGGGAAAAGCATAGGTCACATGGGAAACAAATCAGATTAAAAGTGCAGGTAAGGAGTACAGAAAGTTGTTTACTTAAAATTGGGCAAGTAAGCTGAAATGCAGCAGAAGGGAAAGAAGTTTGGGGAAAAGATAGAAGCACTGAAAACATGTAAGCAAGATCAGAGACACAGAGAAGGAAAAAGTAGGTAATGGAAAACAGAAGTGAAGAAATACTGGAAAAGTAAGACTACCCATTTATACCCCAAACCCATTTTTATTTTGAATATGGGTTTAAAAGCTAGTTAACCCTTACGACTTAAGCCTTCACTTCCCTCTTTTCATTTCTATTTCTCTTTGATTGTCATTTGCTCTGACATAAGTGGAGTAAGTGGATTACTTAATTCAAAGGAGTGGCTGAAAGGTACTGAATTTTTATTTGGTTTGTAATGGTTCCATGGTGCTAATCTATGTTCTTCCTCCCCAGGTGGATCGGATGTCTTTCCCCTGTGGCTGCACTAAAGAAGGGTGTAGTAACACAGCAGGTAGAATTGAATTTAATCCTATCCGTGTCCGGACTCACTTTTTGCACACAATAATGAAACTTGAACTGGAAAAAAACCGAGAGCAGCAAATCCCCACACTGAACGGCTGCCATGGGGAGATAAGCGCACACAGTAGTTCCATGGGCCCTGCTGCTCACTCTGTAGAATATTCTATTGCAGACAATTTCGAGATTGAAACTGAGCCCCAAGCTGCAGTGCTGCACCTGCAGTCTGCAGAAGAATTAGATTGCCAAGGAGAGGAGGATGAAGAGGAGGAGGATGGGAGCAGCTTTTGCAGTGGAGTCACTGATTCTAGCACACAAAGCCTGGCACCTAGTGAGTCGGATGAGGAGGAGGAGGAAGAGGAAGAGGAGGAAGAAGAGGATGATGAGGATAAAAGAGACAGCTTCGTGGAAGGTTTGGGCACCCATGCTGATGTTGTGCCTCTTCCTTCAGTCCTTTGTTATTCAGATGGCACAGCTGTTCACGAAAGCCACACAAAAAATGCTTCTTTTTATGCCAACTCTTCAACTCTCTACTACCAAATAGATAGCCACATTCCAGGAACACCTAGCCAGATCTCTGAGAACTATTCTGAAAGAGATACTGTCAAGAATGGTACCCTTTCGTTGGTGCCTTACACCATGACCCCAGAGCAATTCGTTGACTATGCCCGGCAAGCAGAAGAGGCCTATGGTGCCTCCCATTACGCAGCTGCCAACCCCTCTGTGATTGTTTGCTGCTCCTCTTCAGAAAATGATAGTGGGGTGCCCTGCAATAGTTTATATCCCGAACATAGGTCCAGTCATCCTCAAGTGGAATTTCACTCATACTTGAAAGGCCCTTCTCAGGAAGGGTTTGTCTCCACTTTGAATGGTGACAGTCACATTTCGGAGCATCCTGCTGAAAATCCTTTGAGCCTTGCAGAAAAGAGCAGATTGCATGAAGAGTGCATCAAATCACCTGTGGTTGAGACTGTTCCTGTTTAGTAGCTTAAATTATTCTATTATAGGACCAACTCTTCTATTTAAGGCACTGCATTTAATTGGATTTCCTGGGCTCATCATTGTTTAAACTGAAGACCGAAAAATTTGGACTGTGATTCATCTTCCAGACTGTATTTTGTTTTCTCCTTTTTAGCTACATGACTGTGGCATTGCACAAATACAGTCACTATGGGGGAATTTAAAAGATTTCAGACTGTTTTGATAGAAAATGCTACATTTTAAAAATGCGTATCTCACAGTTGCCTACCTGTCAAACTGTGTGAAACCTGCCAAGCTGTGCAGATCAGAGCTCCAAGTTTTGGATTATCGGGCCTGTGCAAGATTGTTAACTAAGGCTGCAAAATAATAAGATTTAGAGTCCTAATTTTCGATATATCTGAAGATGATGGGGACTTTTTAATGGAAAAGTAATTATTGTAAGAAAAAGATTTACTTGTTTCATGTGTATTTTATTTATAGTAGCTTAGAAGTCATGTTTTGACAAAAATGAACAGCAGCATGTTCATTCAAGCTGAAGAAGCCGATCGACGACCACAGAGCATGCCCACATAGATTGCATCTGGAATTCACTCACGTTTTTACGATCCTGACTGTTCAGGTTTGCAAATACTTTCTTAAGGGTGAAATAGGCCTATTTTTGCTATTTTGGACAAATAAGTGAGTCTATATGTGCAGGTCCTTACCCAGTTTTCTCTAGAGTTAAGAGTTAGGACAATCCTCCGGGGAGGGTCCAGTTTCTTGCCCTCCCTCAGCTGACTTCCAAGGTGGAGGTAGAAGGAATTGCCTTTCTTTTTAAATAGCATCAACTTGGTTCTTAGCCTGGACAGCACCTTTAAACTCTACCCCCTACATCAAAATGCACTTTAGTGCCCCTTCACGGTACCTTGTGTGGGGTGGGGACTGAGAACTCTTTGAGATGAAAAATTTTAAAAATTAAAAAAAAAGATCTGAAACTATTCTAAGGTTCATACATACAGTTAACATAGAGGAATAATCCAGTGACACTTGTGAAGGAAAAGTGACTTGTTTTCCTTCACCACTCTGAGGACCTAACTCAGTAAACGCAAGGAGGCTGAGGCAACATGGAAGAGACATTCTCAGCAAGCAGCCTTTTCTGCAACATGATCGGTCCATCTCTACAAATAAGTGTATAATGAAATTTACACTTAGTGACTAGCTGATCGAAGGGGGCCTCTACCCAAATACTCAACTAGGCCTTACTTTTCTGAAGCATTTTGATTTGTCTTGCCTGGGACAATTAACAGAACAGTCCAGAATGCATTGCATACTCTAATTACCTCACGTTCTCTTATTAAAGAGAACAGATAGAAATAAAACATGCACTCCCCACCTTTAGATTACCTGCACTTAGTTCACCAGAGGACTTCTAAGAACCCTTTTTCCTGTAAATTAATTTAGCTAACAAAATAGTGTGTTCCACTTTCCACCTTGCCCAATGCAATATGACTATGCTAAATCTGTTTCACATTTTTGACCTTCTCTTGTTATATCATTTCACATGTTTTATGACTATTTGAAATGTGGACATGCCTTGCTATTGAGTGACTGCATCGCTACTTATTTTTTATGTCTTTTAGACTTGGGTATTTAGAAATACAGATATAAATATATTGTACATCTCAGTTCCTTAAAAATACTATGTTATTTGATTCAATTTAAAAAAATGTTTGGTTTGGAGAAAGTCCTCCAATGGAAAAGTTTCTACTAGAACTTGATGTGGAGAAAACATGTTTACTTGGCAGCTCTTCCATGGTGGAGTTGGTTCTTGCCCCTTTTCTACCCCATCTCTGGGCCAAGTTTGTAACCACTCATATTCACATTAAAGAAGCTTTGGACTTGTGGAGGTGTAGGCAGCAGTAATGAGATCAGGAATGTTCCATTTTAATGATTAGCCAGGGAATCATTACATACAGTTTTTAGTGCTTGATCTCCAGGATTGTTTTTCCCCCTCTTACTAATACAATATAAAGAGCACAGTCACAAAGAGAAAATGACAAGAGGTTATTGGTCCTTCACTCAAGCATATGAAAAAAATCATGTGTTCCTCATTTGCTGGACCATTACAGGCTCTGGAAGAACTTACATATGAAGAACTCTGAGGTTATTCATGGAACACAGAGTATGGGAGATAAGGGGCAGAGCCAACTAGCTAGAGCACAGTTGAAAGGTGGAATGGCAGTCCAGTTTCGGAACAGATAGACATTTTAGTTCAGCTTTTTTTACTCAAGACGGTGACTATTTTATGACTCGTTATGTCACTGTTTTGTAGTTTTGTTTACAAAAGGATACTGACAGAAAGATTTGTTGAGCTTTGTTGCCTCTGTCTAATTGGATGACAAAGTCACTGCCTTATTAAGTTTCAGCTATCCAACCATAACAACTTTGTTTCAAATTTTCATAGACCTAAGTGAACCTTCAGCATCTCCTACAAATAAATACACAGGATGCCCGTGAAAAAAACTCTCCAGTATAACTGTACCTAAACCACACACGCATGCACACACACACACACACACACACGCATGCCAAGCACACGTACACAAAACAAGGATACCACATACTTGAGAGTGACAGATTTTAGACAATGTCCAGTAATAAGTTTTCCTACCCTAAAATTTGGTCTGGTTTTATGATCTAAAAATATAGTCTAGAAAAGAGTATAATTTTTAAGGCTGTAGTTTGAAAATATTGGGTCAATGCTGCAAATAATACTAGTGATGGAATCATTTCGCTACGACTTCCTTTCCCAGAAAAACTGAGAGAGCACAGTGTTCCATCTGAATTTTCCTGTTAATAGCCTTCTATTCAACAAAAATTGCCCACATACCAGGAAAGTGCTACAGTTATTCTAAGCTTGTAAAAGGGGGAATCAAGCTAGATGCAGCCTGTTGGGATCTTTGTACCAAGACACAATAACCTGGCCTGCAGCTGTTGTATCGACCCTATTGTATATCTAACCAAATTAGTCTTTTTTGACACACAGCTTTTCAGTCATTCATTGTCAATTGCAAAGCTTCATGCTCCAGACCCTGTTGTTTTAGCACCAGCCCTATACCTTTAAATGGGGGTTAATTCCTGGCTATAATCCTGGCCAAATTGATTTGCAAGTCAAGTGAATGGAGTAGCTTGCATCTCCTTTGTCATTCTTGATCTCCTTTGGGGGAAAGAAATCAAAGAAAGAATTTTTACTTAAGTTTTCCTTCCTATCTTTTGAACATCAATTACTAAGAGATAAGTAAAATCTATTTGTTGCATGTATTTTGGTTTATTGCACAATATATGTAGTTATTTTTGGAAGGCCTGTCTTTTCTTTGTGATGAAATTCCATGTTTCCCTGGGAGTCTGTCACAAATAAAATGTGAAATTAATATTTATTCAGACAATAAAATCTTCTCAATCTTATGTGGCACACAATACCCATCCCCACATTTCCCTCCGCCAAAAAACTATGAGCTGTAGAAACAGATTAATCATGAAACCAATCAATTGTTAAATGATTGTTTTCTTTAAAATTTTAAACTATAACAAATGACTTATAGCCAAAAGTCTTCAAGTTTTCTTTAAACAGAAAAATATGTCATAATCAATATCCTAATAATTGTTATATTACTGGCTCTTTAATATTTGATATTGTTAGTCAAGTTTATGATCCTTTGGTCTCAATATTCAGAATTTATTAATTATTCATTTTTTAACAGTATTTATTAAACACCTGCTATAATAGAACAACTGTAATGGGTAGTAAAAAATAATAAGGAGAAACTACAAATTCTAAAGAATCAATGACAGTAAAGAGTGGCATGAAATAAGTATATTCAAATATTTTTGATATTTGATTTTATAATATAAAATTAGAAAATTGACATCAATTCTTGTCCAATAATATACAAACTGCAACTGCTTCTTTTTCCTAATGAATGGAACTCACTGGATCCTCCTTTTTTCTCCCTTCATCTGAAATATATGAATTAAATCTGGACTCAGGAGTGAACCAAATAAAAAAGAGATTTTCAGGCAATTGTAAGTGATGCTAAATCTATACCAGCAAACTCCCCTCAGATAGTTTCAGAGGGTGGTTGATTCATGCATAACCCAGGAAAGATTTCAGGGAACTTTTGAAACAAAAATACAAAAAACAGTCACTCTTACTTCTACTTATAAACAGGTTATCAAAATAGCAAAACCCTATTCCAACTTCCATAGGCATCACTTAGAAGCAGATCGAAAACAAAAGAGGTCCCTGGGTCTCCTTTGCTTTGAGTTTGGAATTACGAACCACCCTCTCAGCAGTGGAAAATTGACCTCCTCAACAGGAAACTTCCTTTTTCAAAAGGTAACGCAAGCTCCTCTTTCTATAAATATGACTTTAATAAAAATATAACATTAAAATGGAATCTTAATCTCTCAAAACAGCTTCATCGTCCTGAAAGTCCGTATATGAAATACCCAGCTTAAATGGGAAACATATTTCTGCTCAAAGACAAGACTTGACTCCAATTTGAAATAGGAACTGTCTGTTGTGTCCATACCAAAAGTTTAAATCCTCAAGCATTCTTAGTTCTAGTGCACATGTGCAACTTCTGACTGCATCCCTTTTCTGAGATCTGCTAATTTATGCTGAGGTGATTTAAATGCCCCAACCACATGGCACAGGTCTGCAAAAACAGCACAGCTCACCAGATGTTTTCTGTAGCATTAAAGAATTTAATTGACTTAATCGACTGAATACCAGCAACTCACTCGACAACTCACTAGAATTACAAAACTGGCAGGATGGATGTGAGGATGGAACACAAGCTTAATAAGTGGTGGCATCTCTTAGGAACTATTAAAAAGTTTCAACAGAACTGGACTGTGTCTTATAGTACTAGAAAGCTCAGAGAGAAGGCAGTCTCTTCTAGTCTTCATGCCTCAAAGGGGCAGCCTAGCCATCCTCAGCCTAGTTGGTGCTTATGTCAGTGGAACAACACCCACTTCAATTGCATTTTACTATCTACAGGTCACTTGATTCTGTAGAAATAAAAATACAGACCTACACCATTCTAAGAAACTTTTAGAAAGAAATTGAAACACATTTTTATATTAAAATGACTAATAAATGACTTGTGTTATTGTCAAAAATAAGGAATTGAGAAGTAAAAGAGCTCTTTAATATTTTACCAGCCAAAACTATATGTTCAATGTGACTCTTTTAAAAAGTCACTTCTAACCTTTACTTTGACTTTTCTCATGGATTTTCAAGAGAGACCATAAGACCAATTTCCTAAACAGCATAGTTATTTTATTATTTTCTTTCTTTTTAATCAAAATTCAAAGGCAAAAGCTTCATGTTGCCTGGGTTTTCCTTATGCTCGGTCCTGAGCTAGTCCATTACTAGCTGGCATGTCTGGCTTCTGAGAGTGTGGGATCAGAAAGCATGATGGGAAATAGGAAAGTACTCACGATCAGATTCACAGTCTAAGCCAACATGTCTTTAAAGTTCACTTTTTCTATGTATGCTGTTTTAGTCTCATTACTTAAAGCCTGGAATTTTAGTGAATCTAGGTATGTGTTACATCAATAAGAAATGCCATAATTTCAAAGATATAAATCATGTTGTAACTACTCTCACTTGTAATAGATATATCACTATATAGAGTAATTGCTATCTATTTGATTCCTTATACTTGGTTATACTTCAAGAAAAATCAACTCTACTGTGTCATTTTATTCTTGTCTTACAAAAAGATTTGGGCAAGAATATAGATAGAATTTATTTTAAATAGTATTTAAATTCAACATACTAATAATGTAATTCCTCTTTGTATTACTCATTACCATGTTAATAGTAAAGTTATTTCAGTAATTCTGATTTTAATGACATGTATAAGGCCATTGAAATATTTTTGTTTGTTTGTTTGTTTTCTGGTACCTGGGATTGAACTCAGGACCTCGAGCTTTCAAGGCAGGCACAGTGCCACTGAACTAAATGCCTGGCCCCATTTAAATATTTTTATGATAATGTATATTGATTAGAGTTAGGATGAGGCTAATTTATGGTAGAAATTAGCCTTGTTTTTGTCAAAGTTATTTACACTATTAGTTGTTATTTTGAAAAAGCATGATAGTTAGATATCATTTTCCTCTCTCTTTTAGCTTTTTCCCATATTTTTTATCTGGCTTGAGATTATCTTTAAAGCTATTTCTTAATGAGTATTTGGAGGAAACCCAACATAGAATATGTCTCTTTAAAACTTATCTAGGGATTTTTATCTCCAGAGATCTGTATCACATCTTACTGTCCCACTAGACCACCCACCCTCTTCTCTGTTCCATCCATCCTAATATTGTTTTGTTATCTCTATGTAGAAAAAAATATAAAAAGGAAGTTCAAATATTTTACCCTGTTAGTACATTTTACCCTATTTTGTTTTGCTCTTCCTTTTTCAAGTTGACCACCAAGTTTTTCTCCTAAACTTAGGTTATCAGTCTTTACAATTGTAAAGATCTATATAGACTGTGCACGTTTATTTAAATATGAAAGAAAAGGAAAGAGTAAAATTCAAATCTGAATTCTCCTAAAGAGGAAAACCTACATAACTAAATCTAGGACATAAATTGCTGACTGTTTTTTGTTTGTTTATTTGTTTTATAAGTTAGTGTTAATCTTTGAGTGATTTAATGATAGTCAAATAATATCTGAATTTTATAGATTTTAAAATTTAATAGTTGGAGTGTCATTTTGTTTGTACCACAATCAAACAAGGTTTCTTGCCAAAGGTTACCATCAGAACCCTAGTTTATTAGGCACTAGTCATGCCAAATGGATAGTTCAGAATGATTTAATCTTTTTGAAGATACAATGGCCAACTGTGTGTGAATAATGGAAAGTTTGAGATTCTTCTGTATTCTTTAATTTTTATAGTCCTGAGACTAGCAGGGCTCTCTAGAGGTCATCTGGCTCATCCATCTACCTCCAGGGAGGACTGTCACTCAGGCATGCCCAACAGGATAGATAACCATCTATTCTTACCATCTCTAGGGGAGGAAAGTTTCCTTGGCAACACAATCCAGCTCTTTTAGGGTTTCTCACAATAAGAAAATATCTTGGCCACTTTTAGTGGCCTAGGCACCTGGCAACAGTTGTGCTAATTTGGACCATTGTACTGGGAGACTCCAGAGAAGTTAGGTTTCTCCTTACATCTGACTGTTATTACATATGGCTATAAGTTTCCTAAGAAATCAAATTTTCAAAGAAAGATATAACTATTCAAACAGTTCCCAGTTAATGTAACCTGCTTTTGGCAAATGTTGCTATAGATGGTTTTTATTCGCGTCTTTATTTATTTATTTTTGTTGCTGTTAGACCAGGAATTAATATCAGGAAAAGTGACTGTTTCAGATCCCCAGTGACAAACACCAGAACTAGAATCAAGTGACTCAACTTCAACAGTGTTCAACTTTTTGAGAAGTTACAATTACAAAAAAGTAAGCATGTGCTATGTTTTTGCTTCTAAATAAGTACCTTCTCATTAATCTTTCTTTAGCCTAAAAAGACAAATAAGAATCTAAAGTTTTTCCACTCCTGCTGGAGAAGATGTAACTGTGAAGAATATGATCTGGAATAAAATGATTCCAGAGACTCACTCAACCACATTTGATCCCAGCCTTTGTCCTCATGTTTTTTAAACAATGGCTGCTGGCTTTCTCAGGGATCGGGAAAATGATTTTTCAAATTATCATCTTGACAAGGTCTGAAAACAAAGGGAGGAGTCCTGGACAATGGTGATTGTGTTTTCTTATTCCATCACTTGACCCAAGCACTCCCTGAAGCTTTCAGAGCCTTTTTCTGTTTCCTCAGAGTTGACTCCAACTCAGAGGCCAAGCTGAATGGACGAGGAGTACCCCCCAAATCAACATTTCCTTTCTCCATGGGATTTGTTTCAATCTAGGAACAGCTGCTTATCTCCCCAACTCGGATGCTCTTGTGAAATGACAGCCACAGCAGTGTGGTTGCTTCCCACAGATAACACTTTGGGGAAATGGCCCTTGTTGTCTTTAAAAAGTGCTGCAGAACGCTCATGTAAAGAATGGTGAATAAAATTTGGCCCATGTTTTAATTGACTCTAGCCACCACTATGAAAATAAGTCTGAGGCGTAGTTTGTGAAACATGTTTCAAAAGTGTTTGATGTATAATAAATGCTAGACATTTACAGTGCAGAAATTGTAAAAACAAAAAAATTAAACCTGTAGATTACAACTCTGTTCCTAAGAACCTCAGCATTTATTGTGTCTTAGTAAAGTTGATCTGCTTTCTTTTTCGTTTATCGCATTTCTGGTGTAATAGCCTCTTAAGATAGAACTATTAATACATATGTACTGGTTAATGCCTGTTAATGCAGAAAATGGCACTTTGTTATTTCAATGTGTTTCCCTCAGTGTCACAGGGTATATCAATTTGACAGGAAAGGTCATTTAACATTAGTCAAAAAGACATTTTTGCCGTAAAATATATATGTATAATTGGTTACATAGGTAAATGTCACCTTTTGAAGTGTCTTTATCTTCATCATAGTCTTAGACATCAACTGTGTCTCTACTTTCCAGCTGCCATAGAAATTTGGTAGATTTGCAAATTCTGGTGAAATCTAGTGAGCTGAATGTATTGGTAGATCAAATGATCCAAAGGACTTAGGTATTATTCTTCTGTCTGTGTTGGACATTCAGACATTAGAAATGGTCTTTACACAAGGGAAGTCTTTTTGGAGTATATGTATTTTATTTTATATTGTGTTTGATGCTGTAAAAAAAAAAGATGTAACTTTAAAAACTCAAAAAAACCACTGCACTGTAAAGTATATTTTGGCATAATGATTGGTTTTATCCTTCAATTGATTTTTTATTATTACTTTTGCTCAATAGATATTTAATTATTATTGTGTTCAATCTAATGATGTATGAAGTTTGAAAAGGAAGAAAATCAAACTGTAATCCATACGTAGCCATTTTACACCAAGATGTCATGTTGTGTGTCACACAGTTTTGAGATTGATTTCTCTTGTGTACAAGTTATAAATAACATCAAAGATGCCAAAGGGTATATAAAATAAGCTACAATAATATTCAACAGAACTTAGTCTGGACTTTATGTTGTAATAATTTATTCATATTAGCTGTAGTTGTCTGTATTTATATTTTCAGTATTTATTACAAATGACATGGAAATTCGTGTATTTATTGTGGCTTTTTCTTGCAATGTGTGTGTATACATATATTACAAATAAGCATTTTTAAGTCTTATCTTTAAGTTTCTTTTACTAGTGGCACTTGTATTATGCTGTACTTTTTATTATATATTGTACAATATCTTGTCCATTTGTTTGCAGCAGAGTAAAACCAGTTTCTAAGTTATATTTACTGTTGAATTTGTGTTGCATTTTGTGTGAAACCTTTGTTCTTACATCTTGAACTGCAATCCCTTATGCTGTCTGTCACAGCACACAGAATACCTCCCTCCCTCTGGGTAACAGATAAAATTCTTGAAAAGTTGTGTGTGAAGCCAGTTTCTGCTAAAATGGCTCATTACATTATCATTTCAAAGATGTGTTAACTTTATTATGATTGATCCCTAAGTGAAGATGCTTACACTTTTCTTTCTCAGCTTTTCAATCCATTCATCAAGTAATGATGTGTAAACAAACATGAGGGCCAAAGGGGAACTCTCTATGTAAATGAAATTTCAGAAGATATTTTTACAAAGACAAATACATTCTCTGTAAGTGGTATCCTTGAAGTCTACGACTTACATGTTTTGCTTTGCTTACAGCAGAATCTGTGTGATTTGATGTTTAGAATATTTATGTACATATAATTCTTTATGTACGCCTATGAGCTTAAAGATGTTGGTTAAAGTTAACAAAAACTTACTTTTATTAGAAGTAGAATGAAGAGGAAAGAAACTGCATTTGTCTTAATCTATTGTATATAGGTCTTTGACCTCAACAACTTGTTTTCTTACATCTAGAGATTGGATCTATATTTTTTAAGGTTAAATAATAATAAGTGATTGTGTAATCATCCTAAAACTCAAATTTGGTATATTACTCACTTAAAATTCTCCACAATGTTTCTTTCTCGCTGCCAACAAAATAAAATCCAAACTCTTTGCAGTGCCTCACAAGGTCAATTTACATGTACATACAAATTGTTGTTCCAGGCTTTTTGCTCACCAAACTGTCTCTGCCTTCCATAACAGAATTCTTAAATTTCACCTGGTTCTCAATTTCTCCCACTTATAGTTAGCATGCTGCTTCTGTTCAGAATATCAACCACCAACAAATCCATGGTGGCAGCACAATAATAATGACCATCGACAGCTTTCAAGGGGAAGCTCAAATGTCTCTTCCTTTATGTCGTTTTTTTGATTCTCCTGAAAATTGATTAACTCATCTTTTAGGCCCAATGCAGACATTTATTAGAGTGCTTTCAATTCTATTTTATTTTATATTTTTTGCTGTTTTGAAACAGGCTCTCACTATGTAGTCCAGGCTGGCCTCACCTTCTGAGTGTGGAGATCACAGTTGTGTGCGTAATGTGCCTAGATACACTGGGCTTGTTTATCTATCTACTCTCTCCTCATTACTCTCTGAGATCAGGAAACTAGTCTCATTAGTCTCTATGTTCTCAACATCCAGTTTAGTGCCTGAAATCTAGAATATGGTTAAAATATGTTTACTGATGCATGTGAAGTGCAAAAGCAGTACAAAGTAGAATTTTGTGGAGGAGGTCAGATGTGGGAAGCATGGCTGGTTTAGGGGTAGAAAAGGTGACAAATTCAGGAAAAGGGAGAATTTTAGCGATAGGAGCATTCTATAGTCCACATTATGGAATAGTTTGAGAACAGGCAGATCTCTCTTTTCTACAAGTCACTCTTTTCTGTGCAGGTCAGAAAACTTTGCTACGAATAAATGACTCACCTCAGGCACAGATGACAAATCAGATGAGGAAAAAGGATTCAGCTATTGTACAGCTTTAAAGATGAGTCCAAGGAATCTGATGAGTGCCCTTAGGGTAATAGGAAAATCCTGAAGATAGTAGAAGAGGTAGGTGAAACAAACAAGAGTGATTTCGGCAGTGGGACCTACCAGTGTGACTGCCACACATAGAGAGTTTGGAAGGATAGAAATGCCGAAGTGAAAATCTTCCTTATAGCTATTGCAGTCTTTATATATTGAAAAAAATAACAGTGTAAGTAAAGGACTTCCATTATTGAGGACACTGTGTTAGTGAATGAGGAGACAACGGGAAAAAGTCAGAAAGGGGCCTATGTAATTATGGCAGAGCAAAGATTAGTTATTTGAAAACCTATTAACATGTGAGAGATTAATGGCAGCAAGATTAGGAGCTTGAAATACTGTAAGTGTAATATGGAGAAGGACATGAAAGACGTGAGTAGCAGAAATTGGGATGTTATAAAGAGGAAGAGATGCATTCATTTTGGATAGGTTGAATCATTGCTGACACAATCAATGTAAATAACATGGACCAGGGAAAACGTGAGTCTAGAGATTGGATAAAAGTGTCAGGTACGGAGCAAATAAGGTATGGAGCAATTAAGGTACGTTAAGAGGGCAACGTGCCTAGAGAGAAGGCAACAGAGCACAAAACTTTTAAAAAGGTTGGTGTTTCAAGTTGGAGTCTGGCATGCAGTATTTTTTTTTTGGTACCGGGGATCAAACTCAGGACCTTGTGCTTGCAAGGCAGGCGATGGCACCACTGAGCCAAATCCCTGGCCCCAGTATTTGTATTAGGGATCAATATTATCCAAAACAAATACAGTGTGAGCCACAAATGTAAGCTGCATATGAAATTTTAAATTTTTTCTTAACCTTATTAAAAACAATAAATGAAACTACTTTAGTAACATTTTATTTTTTATAAAATTTTTACATGTAATCAATATAAAAATTATTGGTAACATTTTAAATTTTTTGGTCCAATCAAGTCTTTAAAATCCAGTGTGTATTTTACAGTCACAGCAGGTTTCTATTTGGAGTAGTCATGTGTAGCTAGTGGATGCTCTGTTGGACAGTGTGGGTCCACACTTTTATGTATTTTCTGTGTTGGGTGGTTGCTGGTAGGTGTTGATATGGGATGTATACTTCATTCCCATTTCAACCTATCCATCCACAAAGTAGTACGGACCTCCTTTTTCCCTCCTTCTAATTGCTCTTCTTTCAGCTCCCTGACTAGTCAGCCAGACCATTCTCCTCTACCCACAAGTTTAGATACAGTATATTCTGGAAGAGCCACTTCTCCTTTTGTACAGAAAGAATGGTCAAGTGCACACAAAAACTCTATTTTTTAGTTATTATTTTTATTAGTACACGTTTCCAGTACACAATGATTACATTCACTGCGGGGAGTTGGTACAGGTACATAACACATCATAATTCTTTTTTCATTCCCTTCCTCTCTTCCTTCTCATACCTTCCATCTATTGGTCATCTTCCTTTTTGCAAAAGATATATCTTCCTGTCTTATTTTAAGGGTTTTACTTCCCACTGTCTTTCAACGCTACTCGTGAAGCAGCAGTGGAGGTGTCATCCGTTTTTTACTTACATTGCATCCCATTACTAAAACATCTATCCTTGAGCCATATTCATTTTTTTTTCCTTCTCCATATGGAGTGAGGCATGAACTAAGGAAGAGAGGCTGACATGATAGTGTTGAATGAAAGAAGACAAGGCTACTTGCTCATGTGACTTCATGCACACAGAATCTTTTCACACCACCGGTATATATAATACTAGTTTATTTCACATTATAGTGTCAGCCTGGTCACATGGCCCAAGCAGCACCACTTGATGCACTGCAACCAACACCACCTATAAACATAGACCTTTTCTGTTCTATATCCATCCCTCTCAAAGCCATCAGCCATTCATGTTGCTTGGTATAGGGCAGAACACTGATCCTGGATGTGCTATATGTTGCATCCAGAGTCCGAAGAAGTTTACCAGGCATTGCACTTCTCTGTGCATGCCAAGAGTTGCAATATGTAATAATTAATCTCTACTATAAAGGAGATGTCCTCAAACTCCCCAATCAAAGGGTCCCTAAAGATTATTCTGGTGCGGCAGACCCCTGAATTGTCATTAGAGTTTATCTTCTGTCCTCTGTAGTGCATGTGCCTTATCAAAGCCACCAACATGCTGGCAACTTACTATTAATCTAGTCTGATTAGCATAATATTATAGAGAAGTGGAATTCTGTGCATGTATAGCTAATTCCACAGACATGCAAGTCATCTCTGATTCTCTTTTTCTAATTGGAATAGAAAGGAACACATTTACCTAATCCAGTGGTCTCATCCACATACCTGAGTTTGGTCATCCTGCTATAGCAAAGGTACTACATCTAGCACAGCAACTACAATTAAGGCTACCACTCAACTGAATTTGTAGTAAGTACTCCAATTCTCCAGGGTCCATCTGTGTCCTGTAAGGGAAAGTCACTACATAAAGGTAACTTAATTTGGATATGATGGTGACTACCACCTCAACATCTTTTAGATCTTTAAGAGTAACACTATTTTCCCTCTATGGCCTTGGGTTAAAAACTTGTTTTTTATTTGCTGCCTTGATTGGGATCAGGGATACTTGTAGTTTCAGAGACTTCCATCTGGCTTTCCCCACTATAGTAATCTCTATTCTTGAAGCAAAATGTCCAGTGTTGGAACTGTATGCATACCAAATATGCCTACCTCAAATATGTACTTAGTGGCAGGGAAAATGTTCTCTGTGTAGCTCATAAGACCTAGTCCACTGTCAGAAAGCCAGATCTTTACTAGGACTCTGTTTATCACCTCATTCTCCCCATTTTAATGGGGGAGAAATAGTATGTTAGACACCTCTCATCACTGTGACAAAGTACCTGGAAAGTCACCTTAAAGGAAAGCTTTATTTTGGTTCATACTTTCAGAGATTGCAATCGATGATTTGCCAGCTGGTTCCTCCGCTGTGGGCCTGAAGTGAGGCAGAACATCATGGTGGAATGGCACAGTGGAAAAAAACTGCATGGCAGCTGGGCAGCAGAGATATGAGTAAAAAGCCTCCCTTGTAGGAAGAACTGGGAGACTATCATCATGTATACTTGCATGTTGTAGGTGAGCCCTCCTTGTAGAGAACTGGCCTTCTATTTTGGTCAGTGGGTCCTAGATCTAAAAACTAATTCATATTTGGAAAGGCAAAAATTGACAACATCTTATTGGGGTGATTACATTCAGGTTCCTGGTTATTTATCCTTATTTCTTGCCTTAGTATAAATGAAAAATACCCTTCTTGCCTGCCCGTCTATTTTGTTCATAAAGGTAGCAGGTTCTATTAAATGTCTTCAAAACTCTCTGTGGGTC